GATTGTCTTATGCTGTAAGAGGGGAGCTAGTTGTCCCGATACTTGGTTTGCTGTTACACTAAAGGTTGTAATAACTAATTTGTGAAGAGTCTAGATATATCATAGACACTTGATGCAGTATGAAACATCATTCGATTGCCTTTACCTTTCCAAACATTTACCCTATACATCATTATGTAAGAGGTGAAACTGAGTGATTGAATTCATTTACAGAGTTTTAAATATATGTATATAGAGTCAGCTCTGTGGCTAAGTCGATGTGAACGCTGTGTAATGCCGGGGCTCCGAGTTCGATCCCAGCAGCGGGCCATGCACTTTGCGTTGGTTTCGACGGTGGTATCAGGGGGCCGACCGTCCAGTAAGCACTGGCAAACTACTGGACGTAAATTTGCATAAAGAAACCACACCACAGCCAGGGGCAGCTGTGTTTGGTTCTGCAACGTCCTGTAAAAGGATACTCAACTAACCTTATGTATATATATATATATATATATATATATATATATATATATATATATATATATATATATATATATATATATATATATATATGAACCCATCCCATCAAAGTCTTGTGGTAGATACAGTCATTGTCTTTTGGTGGTCAACATGTAGAGGCATAGAGATAAGCAATGATAAAGTTTTAAAAGACATGCATGTATTGTGTTATTGTAATTTTTTTAAATTGAATTATTGCAAATTTTAAAAAGTAAATATGCATTATGTTTTTGTCTAAAGTATACGTGCGGATATAAAAGAAACATATTGCTAATGTTTCAGAAACATTTGAAACTAGTCAGGATTGGAACATGGGACACTTATGCCAGTAGGAGAATGTTAAGAAACTAAGTCCTTGTGAGTAATTTTCTGGACGAAAAGTAAACTGTAACTCTAGTAACGTTGGCTAAAGTCAACAATGATGTTATCCCTGCAGCTGAAGTTGTGGATATATGTTGACTGGCTGTGTTAAAATTATGGAAGGCAGGATGGCCTTGTAAGAGTTGTTAATGAAAACATTGAATGCCTTGTATCAGACGAGAACTAAGCATGCAGTGACATAAACATGTCTGGGTAAACATGAATGTGGCTAAAAGAATGTTACGTTACAATCATGGACATCGAAACAAGAGAGGCAGGGGTGTATATACAAAGTGGAACACTAATTTACACTTAAGAGGGAAAAAAAAAACTGTTTTAAAACTTGAAAGATGGGTTTCAAACACCATATGAAAACCACACACAGTGTATTCATTAGGACTGACATAAGAAGAGACATTGTGATTTTATTTTGTACGTGTATTTGATGTATCATCTTGCACAAGTGTATGCCGTTATAAGAAACTGAGTTGTGTGAATGAAATGACACTTATGAAGAACCCAGAAAATGAGTGATATTTTAATTTGATAAATAATTTGAAGATGCATAATGTTTTTGATACTGATGATTTTTCTGTAACAATGACCACTACTTTATAGACTGGTTGTTGAGGATCACAACCCTTTGATATTGTATTTATGATGTGAGATGTCGATGTAAAATTGTAATATATTGATGTATGACTAAGCATGGCTTATGAAGAGTGTAGAACGGCATCTGAATATAAGAAGATTATTAGCAAAGAATTTGCATTAGAGATCCAGAATCTCGTCAGAGGGGAAGGATTTAACAGGGAGACGTCATCACTAGTGTGTCATGTAATAGAGTATTACGTATTAGTTGTAGGGACCGAAGACAGCAGGTTTTAGCAATCTAGACCTTCTTTTATAGAACCATCGTTTGTTTATTTATAGAGAGGTATTTGCAAATGAATAACCTAGTTATAAAAAAGCATGTGATGCAATCGTTGACGTGCCATATCAAAGAACGAGAGCCTTATAGTACTGGCTTTCTAGAAGGCCATTGAAGAACACGTGTCAATCCAAATAGTGTGTTTGTAGACAATCTGATGCAATCGAGAACTAATGAGAAAATCCCACGCGAGAACGTCCACAGTAAACAAGCTTTAGCATACCAGAATATTCTAACAGCAGTAGGAACAACTTTCCAGCACATCAGTATGAATAGTATGTGAGAAACTACTTAGGCAACCTTCAGTCTCAGAAGAGGAGGGACTAGTAACATGAACCCTCGCAGATGAGAGCCTCTAGCCGTCGAGGCTTAGAAGCAGAGGAGACAGTCACCAGGAGCCTCGAAGACAGTCATAAGAGAGGAGACATGAACTAGACATGAGACTACAAAGAAAATAGACAAGATACACGAATACATGGTTAACAGAGAAACATTAGATATGAATACTATTGAGATGTTAGAGTCGACGACTAAGCTATTAGTACCAGACACCATTAGAAGCCAGGCGGCAGTTACAGACACTAGAACCAGTTGACAAAGTAACTAGAGATGAAGAAAACGCGACCTCAAAAGTATGTAACTACAGAGCTAACACCATTCAGAATATCACTGATGTTGTCTCTGGCATTGCTGAGGTATCACAGTAAAGAGAGTAGAGAAAAGAACAGTTGTTTACAGACATTATCTTATTCAAGCATCAGTGAAGTGAGAAGCATACAGCAAGCAAGACATCATCTTCGTCCTCATCACTATTATCGATACGACCATCTTCCTCCTCGTCTATACCCTCCGATTCCCTCCTCGAACAGACTAAAGACGAACCTGGGTGTGACAACATGCGCAATGAAGACATCTATAGTACAAAGAAAGAGAAGAAGAAGAAGAAGAAGAAGAAGAAGAAGAAGAAGAAGAAGAAGAAGAAGAAGAAGAAGAAGAAGAAGAAGAAGAAGAAGAAGAAGAAGAAGAAGAAGAAGAAGAAGAAGAATAAGAAGAATGAAGAAGGAAGAAGAAAAATAAAAATAATAAAGAAGAAGAAGAAGAAGAACAAGAACAAGAACAAGAACAAAAACAAGACAAAAAATACCTTACTACTTTGTCAACATTTTGTGTGTGTCAGTTATAATCACAACATGTGTGTGCAGCTGGTTCTCATGGGAACTGAAACCTGCAGTGACTGCCTCCACCTCCATTCTCAAACTAGTTGTATGATATCATATGAACAGGCGTATATCTTGAGTCTTTTCTTAAGTAAGTGCTGTTGTTGAAAGCCCTCACGTATTATGTTCTTTCAAACCAAATCGAAGGCACACACACCCACACACATACACATACAAACACGCCCGCACATATGTCTACAATGAACACACAAACCAATATTGCTTTTATGAGAGATTTATTGCAAGTAGCTGCTGTTTACACTGAAAAACAAAGATAAAGACACAAAGATGAAATACCGATACAGATTACAGTTCTTCCGCCCTATTCTCACAATGCCTGGTTTCTAACACAGTACACACATAACACAATCTAGATATGTCTGTGTGCTTCACATAAGTCTTCTTATGTAGCCGTCTCGCTGATATAAGTGTGTAGCCCAATGTCCTGATTTTCTATATTTGTCTTGCTCTTCTCGGATGGCTTTGTAATGGACTTGATCCTCTTTTTTGCGGGTGTCAGCAACATTAGGCATTTATGTATCACCTTTTTGTTCTTGCCTTGGCCTTTCTTCCAGTTGTTCTGCTGTAAAAAAAAGTCTCATATGAAGTTTGACACTACACAATTTTCACTAGATGACCGAACGATTTTCTCTTTTGTTTGTCATTAAAATCCATACGTTGTCTTATTCCAACTTTCACTCTAATGATGGAGTTCGTAGCACGTCCTTTCTTGTGTTGTTTGAGATAGTACGGAGGCAGCGCATTTCCTTGTAGTTTTTTTCTACTTTAGTGCCTTATTCATTGTCCGTGTTTACTGATAGCATAAAGTAGGGATGACGATGCTACGATGCTATCTGGTGTTTTGCTGGAGGTGAGAGTTTCAGATGTCTAGGCACAGTGATAAACTGGTAGGCGACACATTTGCTTTCTGTACACTAGCTTCTTTTTTTTTTCTATCGAGTCTGAAATCCTCCGTAAATATGCTTCTTTCCTAGATATTTGAGTTCTTAAACTTGGTTGATTGTAGTACCGTTAACATGAACGTTCGTGTTATTATGTTTCCTGCCTGTTCTCATCACCTCCGTTTTCGGGGGTGTTTATTCTCATAGCATACTTTTCTATGGGAGCTAGAAAGGCAGAAGAGAAGAAGACACCTTGCTCAGGTTTGAAGTAAGGAGTCAATACGGACTTGTAAATTCTGTTCTTTGTGGTGTACTAGACATTGCTTGTCGTCTAATTTCTCCATGTCAAACTTCAGTCTTCTGTTTTTTTTTTAAACTTGTTGATTCCACTGCAAGGACATTACGCTGTTATATATCCCCCCCCCCCCCCAGTGTGTATTTTATCCAACACTTGTGTTTTTTTCCCCGAAGTCTCAATTCATTTAAATTTGTTTAGTTCTCTTCAAAATCTGGTCATCGGTAATTTAGTTCATATACATAATGGTTTTTTTAAAAGTATTTCATGAATTACGCTGCACTCTTATAAACTGTAGAAGCGAAAACGAATTTGCGAAAACCTGCACGAAGTTCAAAAATATATGAGCGTACGAATTACACACAGAGCAACGAGCAGCAGTTCTGTTGCCAGGGTTAGGTTAAACAGCTTGAGAAACCTTAGCTACATACACAATGAGATACAGTTATATATTAACAGACATTAACTGATCTGTGCCCACTCAAAGTTACAACTCTTTTTAAGCAATTAAGGCACGCTAAAAATATCTTCCAGGAAACATTGTGGCAACAGAAAAGATGAATGGGGAAGGAGATAGAGGAAGTCAAAGAGGGTTTTGATTACTTATCACCACGGCGTGGTAAATCATCTGAATTAGAAAGTGTGTGATAGAATACGACAAGGCATGAAAACCAATGCCCCGCTCTAACAACAACAAAAACAACAACAAGAAATCTCTGTGTTTTGCCATGTGTATTTTCCTGTGAATTTTCGGATCGTAGATCTGACATTCCGGTCCACTGTTTGTCTTTGTGAGCTTATCCAAAAATAAAGAAGTCGGCTATTCGTGGACAGTAATCGGTCCTCCTCTCACACTCCTTGGTTATGGGATTGAACACCAGTGGAAGTGAAATAGGGTCCGTCGGAGATCCATAACGGTCAGAAGCACAGACTCTGAAAACAAAACAACATGATTAGTTACAGATGGTCAGCATCATCATCGAAATGTGGGAGGAAAGGAAGCTTTTTTTTTTTTTTGGGGGGGGGGGGTAGGGGGTATTCAGATAAAGAGACACCCATCAAATACTTATACAGAATACACTTTCCTCCCTGCCTAATCTTCTAATGTAGCGTTTCTCAACCTGTGTGTCGCGACCCCCCCCCCCCCCCCTCCCAACCCTTCCCTTTCTTTTTTGGGTCGCAAAAATACATCGTGAAACACATATTCATTGAAGTTATGAAGTAGCAACGAAAATAATTGTATGGTTTTTATGTCGCCACAGAAAAAGGAACTGTATTAAAGGGTCGCGACATTAGGAAGGTTGGGAACCACTGTGGTAATGCATGGTTTCTGAAGCACTACACATATCCTGAATCACTTGTCTCCAACCTTTTCCAATCATTTTCCTGTTTGCCTTTTGAATTAGCAGTCCTCAGTTGGGACGCATTTTTTTCTTATTTCAAATCCCACTGTGGATGTGCGGCGTCCGTGGCTTAGGCGTTGCGAGTCCGACTCGTGATTCCAACGAAACACGATCGAAACCCACTGCTGGCTGCGTGGATTTTTATATGGTCTGTAAAAATATGCGTGCTTTTCCCCTATGCCTGATGCCCCCAAAGGCGTGACAAATGATCTTTACGTTACCCTTTCTATAGACGGGGCCCTAATATAACATAACCTATGGGTTGAACGGGGTTTCGTAAACTTGCACGACTTGTACCCGGGTGATTTTCATCCGAATGATGACACTTTGTGTTACCGGGTGTTGGTAGCTAGTTGACCGGTCCTGGCGGGGTTGAACAAAGCCAAGTCCCACCTACTCCCTTGAGTATACCTCAGTACCACAACCCCCCCCCCTCGCTCCCAACCCTCCTTGAGTAAATAACAAGACCCCCACTCCAACTTTAATTTTCTAAATAATTCGATCTGGCTCTGGACGCAACAGAACGTCGTAAGGGATGAGCTTCAGTAGACTGGCCCAAGTCCCTAGTGGAAAAGAGCATCTATTCCCTTAAAAGTCTCAGTGCCCGATAAATGTCTGCCGGTGACTCTCTGCCAAGTGCAAACGTCTAACAATTGTCCGATGAACCAACCATCAGCTTGTCACTCTGGTCTTAAAGGTAGTCAACTGATCTAATTAGCTACCGCGACGACAAGATAACATCAAATCTCACAGCACCTGTTGCAATGTCACCATATCGTATTGTCCCTGTCGAGTCCGATAATCATGGCATTGTGGTGCTGGATGTCTGTGGATTACCTACCTCCCCGAGCAACAGCTAGAAATGCCCTGTACCGGTTCTAAAGGAAATATGGGTTGTGTTTCTGCCTTCCCCTTTAACACGTAGCTAAGGTGGGGCTCACAGTGTGCTCATTCCCCACCACCAGATTGCCTGCAGGTTTCGCTGAGCTCTTCATGGCTCTAAGCATGGCCTAAGCATGAGTAGTTGGCGCAACTGGATCGTCACGCCCTGAGTCCCTGTGCCTTCACGATAGTTTCCGGTATTCGGGGGGGGGGGGGGGTGGGGGGGGGGGGGGGTTAGCATACTTGTTTCCATTTCTAAGACTGTTCAGCACACCTCTGGCTCCTTCCCTCTCACAGGGGGCAGTACGGTGTGGTGCACCGGATTTATTATCGAGGTTTGCTCCTCTAGATCCATTGTGTTTTGCCTGGGGATTCGCACCCCCAGTTACCAGGACTACCTGGGGGAGGTTGTGACTCTTCGCCACGCACAATGGGCTTGAGGTAAGAGAGGTTTTGCTAGGTCAAGAGGCTGACACCACAATGGACGCTCCTTTCGTAAACAGATATTCACTAGACCTAAGGTAAAGTAAGGGGGGGGGGGGACCCACTACCCACAACATCAACACTTCTTACCCCCTGCCTCTCGAGGCTCAGCCCCGTCGAGTCCGATAAAGTGCAGAAGAAGAAGATCGGGCCTGGCTTTTTGACACAGGTCGGCCCACTTTCCGATATTGTTTAGGTAAGCAATGGGCCCAAACAATTGTCAATGAAGGATCTCTACTGATAACTGGTGGACCCCTCCCAAGCATGCTCCCGTGTGGATTTCTTCCTGTTACTATACGTTAGCACACGCATAGGGAACGCCATCGTGATGCAGTAGCTAGACTGGAAGGTCTTTTTTTCCGGGTGCTTACAGAGTCATAAATTTTTTTCTTTCTTTCAAGTATAACTTGTTCTTGTCACCTGTGTGTTGAGGGCCTCTCATCTGAGTATTAGCCGCCCTTTTTTGTAATAAATGCTGAAAGCATTCTCAATTACTAAGTACTTATTTTCTAAGTATTGAGTGCCGTCTCTGTGAGCGTTGTGTATTTCTCCTCACTAGAGTCCCATTTAGGTAAAATGAGTACAGACCAACTGACACCATACAAATAATATTCAAAAGAGAATCAACTAGGGATAGGGAACAGTGCACCGGCCTATGAGGCGAGCAACCAACAGTCGGCTGACAGAAAAAAGCCACATCTGTGAAACTGAATTGCACGCACCATGGTGATTTTGACTATTCTGCATATACTATCTATACTTACATTAACGATGGACAACCATTGGAGCAGGTGACGTAGTATCCTAGTATGCAAATGTTGTTGCAGGTCGGATAATCCCCGTCTGGTTTTCCCAGACAAGCACTGCCGTCAAATGTAATGCAGTCTGTCGAAAAGAAATAACAGGGTAACTAGGGTTAGTACCAAGAAAACTTAACAAGTTAACTGGGGTTAATACCAAGAAAACTTAACAAGTTAACTGGGGTTAGTACCAAGAAAACTTAACAAGTTAACTGGGGTTAGTACCAAGAAAACTTAACAAGTTAACTGGGGTTAGTACCAAGAAAACTTAACAAGTTAACTGGGGTTAGTACCAAGAAAACTTAAGTTAACTGGGGTTAGTACCAAGAATACTTAACAAGTTAACTAGGGTTGGTACCAAGGAAACTTAACAAGTTAACTGGGGTTAGTACCAAGAAAACTTAAGTTAACTGGGGTTAGTACCAAGAAAACTAACAAGTTAACTGGGGTTAGTACCAAGAAAACTTAAGTTAACTGGGGTTAGTACCACGAAAACTAACAAGTTAACTGGGGTTAGTACCAAGAAAACTTAAGTTAACTGGGGTTAGTACCAAGAATACTTAACAAGTTAACTAGGGTTGGTACCAAGGAAACTTATCAAGTTAACTGGGGTTAGTACCAAGAAAACTTAAGTTAACTGGGGTTAGTACCAAGAATACTTAGCAAGTTAACTAGGGTTGGTACCAAGGAAACTTAACAAGTTAACTGGGGTTAGTACCAAGAAAACTTAAGTTAACTGGGGTTAGTACCAAGAAAACTAACAAGTTAACTGGGGTTAGTACCAAGAATACTTAGCAAGTTAACTAGGGTTGGTACCAAGAAAACTAACAAGTTAACTGGGGTTAGTACCAAGAAAACTTAAGTTAACTGGGGTTAGTACCAAGAAAACTAACAAGTTAACTGGGGTTAGTACCAAGAATACTTAGCAAGTTAACTAGGGTTGGTACCAAGAAAACTAACAAGTTAACTGGGGTTAGTACCAAGAAAACTAACAAGTTAACTGGGGTTAATACCAAGAAAACTAACAAGTTAACTGGGGTTAGTACTAAGAAAACTTAACAAGTTAACTGGGGTAAGGAACCAAGATAGCTAAGTTTTTTTTCCCAGTTACTTTGCTCTGTTTTAATCAGTTTATAAATCCAGAATAGACAAATTCATTCAGATGCAGGCAAAAAAAGCCACAGACTACATTATGTTGAATTTAACAAATTTACAAATAGTGTGTAAAACTGACCGCATAGTCAGCAGAAAACAAGTTAAAAAAAAAAAATAAAGGACCAAATTCTACTCGAATGTGCATATAGGGCATGTAGGGCTAGACCAATTTTTTTGACCAATTGGAACTTCGTGGGTGATTTGGTCGGCATCATGCCTGCAATCTCTACTGCCAAGGACTTTACCTGGTACCGACTCAAGGATGGGTCTAACTCGGAGCCAAGGTCATTTAAAAAAAAAAAATCACCTAAGTTTGACGCGGTTCGGTTTCAAAATTACGACCTTTCCATCCACAGTCGAGCGTCTGAACTGCTGCGGATCCTACAGTTGGCAATGACAAAAGCAATCCTCACAGAGTCTGTAGGGGCATTTTAAACATACCACTGTTCGTTCATCACCTTGTCATGCTTTTTGCGCGGTCGCTTTTCGACAACACTATCTAAAAAATCGCTATGGAATTCTGAAAGACGTTAAAGACATTCTAAGCCTTCACAGCATGACAATAGCCAGTGGCAGCAAGCGTGGACTGGATCGCAAATTATTCCTCCCTACGGCGCTGAATGGCAGAAGTGATTTATGATGACGACGATGATGATGAATCTATTTATTAATAGCGACTTGGAAGAAAATGTTGAATTGATGGAATATCGTAAAAACTAAAGCTGGCTAGCTGGCATGGATTGCATACCAACTCATTCATTTACTCCTTAATTCGTTATCCTGTTGTGCAACCATACGTCTTATAGGTCTCGCGGTCTATTCCTCCATTCTGATCTGTCCTGTGTGGACAGTCAATATCATGAATGAAACCCAGTCCAGCAGCATTGGTCTCTTTCATCAACATTGTTCTTTGGGTTTCTTTTGGGTGTCCATAATGTTCCCCCCTCCTTTTTTTTTAAAATGTCTGTTTAGACATTCTCTGCTTGTCTTTGCTCAGGATGTGTCCAATATAGCGCCATCATCTCTGTCTTGTAACTGATATTTGTGATTCCCCTATTATTTCTTTACTCCTTTTGAATTCATTACATTTTATTTTCATGATTTGCCTCAAACATTTCGTTCTCTTGTCAACTAGTTGATCACAATCCACTTGTTATTCGCCCAGTCTTTATTTGATAGGCACCTACGTTTCTTTTTTTTTTTTTTTACTCGTTCTTTCTTCTGTTATCGATGTGTGGGTTCTAGGGTCCCATTGTGGGGAAAATAAGAATAGACATACTGTATCCTAAATAGTATGAATTAGAAGATGAAAGATGGGAGCATCCTTCACCAATAGTCTGCACACGAATAAATTAATCTCTAAAACAGATGTTCGTGCAATATTTAGGTTCCGGAACAAGATCAAAGTCCTGAGGTGGACAAACACCCAGAACTTTCCGTCGGAGTTGACAGCCGTTGAATGCAAAGAAGAAGAAAAAGAATTCTTCTATTTTGTTATTGAAAATTGATTGTTTTTATAACTGTTCCTTTAATGTTGCCCTAAATTATGAAACAAAAAACCCTGGAATCTGTGGTATTTAGAACAATTCATGAAATACTGAAAACGAAACAAGATTCCGGGATACTTGTTAAGAGTGATAGCACAAGAACAGATAGCAAATGTGCAAAAGAATGAATCGTCACACTGTCGGTAAGGGGCTTGATAATGATGACCATAAAAAAAAACTACTATTATAAAAAACGATGCTAGCGATAGCGATGACGATGATGATGCGGATGAGAATATAGATATCTTAGTTAATTTGCTGCGTATCCTATTCAAAACGTTGCAGAACTGACCCTAGCAATTTTTTTGTTGTTGCTGTTTTGGTTATTCTAGGCAAATTTTACTTTCAGTAGTTTGCCAGTGCTCTAAAGGTAAGCTCTTGATACCATTGTCAAAACCAACGCTTGACAAATCGTCCGCAGCTAGAATCGTACTAGGCACCACGACATTATTAAGCGCGCTGGCAAAGCCTTAGCCACAAATGCCTATTATAGATATCTAGACCACTTTTATATTTCACTCCGCCCACTCGTTGTACCTTAGAAAACAGTTCAAATGTTAAGTGGAATTATGAATTTATGATTCCATGAACTTCTAGCTGCCTTTTGTGGTGGCAATAACGGCTGTTTTGGTCAGTAAACATTCCCTTGCTGTTGATTAAACATCTTCTTCTTCTTCTGAGCCCTTGAGGTTCATTGCTGCTGATTTCACCCGCCTCCATTCATCTCTCTGGTTGGCCCTTTCTTTCCAGTTGGTGACACCAAGCGTTTGCAGGTTTGTCTGGATATTATCTCTCTATCGATTTATTGGTCTGATTCCTGGTCTATGACCATACATCTCTATGGTGTGCTGTTGATTAAACATGAACTTTTAATTTTTCACGCAGTTTGAAAATGGCCCTGATCTTAAGAGTAACCCAGAAAATAGACAGCCATCAACTATCTAATACTGGTGTGGGTTCCGGTGCCCCGCCTCTGGCCACCACCTCCCCAACAAGCAAGCCGTAAGGGTAGCTTGGTGAGCTCCTTCAAAGTCAGAGTGCATCTGCCTGAGAGGCAAGGAACCAACAATCTGCATACACATAAGTCGGATCTATCGAACGGCTGTACATATAACACTCAGGTTTCGGAATAAGACTAAAGTCCATTGGAGGACAAACAACCAGAACTTTCCGCTGGAGTGTACAGCCCGTGAGTAGAAGATGAGAAGAAGAATTATCTAACACTTATCGAAGACAAACATTATAATTACCTGCAAATGGGAGTGGAGTCCGGGGGATGCCTATTCCTGGAGGGGTGATCAAAGTATTGGGACATGTATTGTTTCTTGGAGTGGTGGTTGTTGATGCTGAAGTGCTGGTTGTACTTTCTGTCGTGGTTGATTTTGGAGTGGTGGTTGTAGCTACTGTAGTGGTGGTTGTGTTTGGAGTGGTGGTTGTAGCTTCTGCAGTGGTGGTTGTGTTTGGAGTGGTGGTTGTAGCTTCTGTAGTGGTGGTTGTGTTTGGAGTGGTGGTTGTAGCTTCTGTAGTGGTGGTTGTGTTTGGAGTGGTGGTTGTAGCCTCTGTAGTGGTGGTTGTGTTTGGAGTGGTGGTTGAAGTTTCTATAGTGGTGGTTGTGTTTGGAGTGGTGGTTGTAGCCTCTGTAGTGGTGGTTGTATTAGGAGTGGTGGTTGTAGCTTCTGCAGTAGTGGTTGCAATTGGAGTGGTTGTTGTATTTTCTGCCATGTTCATGTTATTATGACATGTTGGTGCTGCTGTTGAGGCAGTGGTCGTATTTTCTGTAGTATTTGCTGCTGGAGTGGTGGTTGTAGTTTCGGTAGTAGTTGTAACTGGAGTAGTGGTTGTAGTTTCTGTAGTAGTTGTACTAGTGGTAGTTGTACTGTCCGTAGTAGTTGTAGGAGTAGTAGTTGTCGTTTCCGTAGTAGGTGTTGTTGTAGGAGTGGTGGTTGTAGTTTCTGTAGTGGTTGTTGTGGAAACGGTGGTCGTCGAGTTATCCCTGAGAACAACGGAGCAGTTTCTCCCGGTGGATGACAGAATGGCCAAGTTAACTTGAATTGTTAGGTCATTGCGCTGTTGTGGTGTGAGATTAAATCCGAGTGCTCCTAATAAACAGTTGACGTAGATATCCAAACTCTCGCATAACAGCGCGGTACTGCTAAGGACGGTTAATCGTTCTTCTACACAGACATTGTTAGGCCCAGCTGGAAGATAGAAGGAGTAAATCTGAAACACTGTTGTTTATTCGCTCATATTTAAAAGTAAAACAATGATTCCTTTTGTAAATATGATAATGGATTTTTTTAAAGTATCCAGAAACCCATAAGTTGTTAACCCCTCGGTTCGGTACTATGGATATCGCAACTCTTCGGCCTTGATTCCAAGATAGATACCGTAAATCTGGGAGAAATGTGGCTTTTGTGCCTACCCCCGGGCGTGAACCTGTACCAGGTTGAAACAACTGGTCTATCGAGTTGGGCGTTATGGGGCATAAACAATACAAGGCAATTTGTTTTTCCCGTTCATACTGTGTCGTATCTCCTTAGGGCCTTAATACAATTTCTGCATCAACATATAATAAAACATAAAACGTGCATCATTTTAATTGACAAACACAAATCACATTGTTTCTCAACTCTTATTGAAGAGACGTTGATTAGGATTTGCAGCGGCAGTAACAATTAAGACTGACAATTCTATGTTAAACAAGGATCATATAGTTTGTCTTGTAGTGCTGTTAATCATACAGTTCATTTGGTAATGTGTGCAAAGTTAGAAATGACTATGTGCTTTGTATATTTCAGTTCTATAGTACTACACCTCGCGAGATAAAGCAAAATATGTCAGTCAAAAAATTGCGCTACATTTTATTTTTTACCACACCTTTAAAACTTACATACATGTAAGTTAAAAAATAACGCTAGGCACGGTCACTGTTTTGAGTCGTGACAAATTTGTTGCTTCTGCCAGACGGTAGCCGTTGCATTTTTGCTTCATTTGTAGACTGAAAGGATATAGTTTCGTAGCCCAGCTACTAAGTTGAGTTCATGGTGCGACCCGGTGAGCTGCGGATTTCCTTTGGAATGTTTTTCGACTGTGATCAACATGGTGTTGTGAATTGTAGATTCATAAAATGGTGAGTGGCCTGTCGTCGCAATATTGGTGGTGCCCTTTTGTGATAAAATTGATCGCCTGTGCAAATGCTGATTTGTTGGTTACCTCTGCTACCGTCGATGATGAACTGCATTTCTAATGTTGGACTGTTTGTGTTAGCACTTCTGATGGCTACCGTATGCTTTTAATCTAAGGGCTGTGATGAACATTCTGTGTGTTTTTCGTTGTCACAGGAGCGGAGCAACTATGGGGGTGACCCGTTTGCTATGAAGTTGAAACTAACATTACCACTACCATTACATTTTTTGTCAGCAAAAGTGCATAGGGAAGGCTACTGTATCGAAGACTGATCACTTGTGGGAAAAACCCAGAGTGCACTAACGTCATTTGTTATAACACACATACACACACACGCACACACACACACACACACACACACACACACACAATGTTACATGTCTTTTTAAACGACGACACAATCCAATCCCTAGCCTATGTTTGATATTTGCGGTTGCACGAGTCCGTTTTTCGTCACATGCTTGCCATTGCCACTATGTGTTTTTAACCACTGTCAAAATTAAGGAAAGCGGTCTTTTGCAAAAAGGAAGCAAATGCATCCAACCCGGTATCATGATCCCTTATGGAAGACCGCTTAGTCCACGTCAACACCACGTGATACGCAAGATGCAAATAAGCCACGAATGAGGTAGGCGGACGCGGCAATAGATAAACCATGGTGGTTATAATCAAGCTCTTAGATAACGATCATTCATTCATAAAATGGATATTGTTATATAAAGGGTGTATCTTTATTGACTGTAAACTTTTTGAAATAAATTATTTGTGAAGCTTGTTTAAATTTGTGCATTACATCATGTTTCAAGCGTCAAGTAACCGTTAGTTTAAAATATGACTGCTATATACCGGTCTTCTAGTAAAAAATCTTATCCACACGGTGTTAACTATTGAAGAAAGAATATTTTTGTTTGAACATGTGCTCCTTAACAATGTCACTTATTGGAATATGGTTGTTCAGAAATTTATGTTATATAAAGGGTATGTCTTTAATGACTGTAGACTTTTTAAAATAATTTATTTGGGAAGATTGTTTAAATTTGTGAATAACATCATGTTTCAAGCCTCAAGTGAACGTTAGTTGAGTGACTGACTTTCTACCCCACCAGGACATCACACAAGCGATAAACACCCGATGACACAAAGTGCCACCATGCGGATGAGGATCGCCGTGGAGAGGTCCCAGAAACCGCGTTCAGACATTTGACCATATGTATGGCCTACCTATATTGCGGCCCCTGGCAAAAGCCAGAGTAGGGCTTCAAATGACAAAAAAAAAATCGTCCTAAAAAAGAGAAAATTGAATTAGTTTAGAATATCACTGCTATATACCGGTGTTCTAGTAAAAGTAAAATACTGTTGGCAATTTAAGCGGTAGAATTGATTTTGAATAGAGCTGTAATGTGGCAAACAGTATCGGAAAAAAGGGACACTGTGGTAGTTTGTGTCGGATTTGCTCAACAGACGATGATTACAAAAAAAAAAAAAAACATTAATATTTTCACCAACACCCTAAAAATATGTAATTAATAATACACATTTTATGACAAGACACTTTACACTATCACAAACACAAACGATAAGTAAACATTGTGGTTTTAGCGCCTTTGTCAGCACATTTACACACATAATTACAACACTTACCTCCGATTAGCTCAGTGAGCGATAACACAGCATCGTTTGACAACAAAGTAGCTAAAGTGGTGACGCTCAATGCACAGGATGCTAGCTGAATTGGTAGAAAGATCGTCAGAGTCGCCTGGAAGACAACGTCAGTTAGGCTACTTCCAGATATCCTGAGCAGGCAGGCAGCATAGGCCTGTTGCTCTGTGCACGTGGCTGGCGCTTGGCTTCGGGTTACTCTGTCATTGTAAATCGCTTGGCAATCCTCCCTGGTTCTGGCAGTCCTATATACTGCAAATTAGCAATACTGTAGTGTAAATGTTTGAAAGCACAACATAAACTACAAATATATATGTACAGCAACATGTTTACTATAAAAAAAATTAGGTGCCGTCTCCACAGTATAGGTTGGCTGTAATGGACTCCAACACGCTTTGTCTCTTGTCCCCAGTTGTACACTTTCTCAGACTGCTGTTTGTCCATCTCGTGTATTGTGCATCCAACACGCGTTGTCTCTTGTCCCCGGTTGTACACTCTCTCAGACTGCTGTTTGTCCATCTCGTGTATTGTGCATCCAACACGCGTTGTCTCTTGTCCCCGGTTGTACACTCTCTCAGACTGCTGTTTGTCCATCTCTTGAATTGTGCATCCAACATGCTTTGTCTCTTGTCCCCAGTTGTACACTCTCTCAGACTGCTGTTTGTCCATCTCGTGTATTGTGCATCCAACACGCGTTGTCTCTTGTTTCCGGTTGTACACTCTCTCACACTGCTGTTTGTCCATCTCTTGAATTGTGCATCCAACATGCTTTGTCTCTTGCCCCGGTTGTACACTCTCTCAGACTGCTGTTTGTCCATCTCTTGAATTGTGCATCCAACACTCTTTGTCTCTTGTCCCCGCGTTGTACACTCTCTCACACTGCTGTTTGTCCATCTCTTGAATTGTGCATCCAACACTCTTTGTCTCTTGTCCCCGGTTGTACACTCTCTCAGACTGCTGTTTGTCCATCTCTTGAATTGTGCATCCAACACGCTCTCTCTCTCTCTCGTGTCCTAGTTGTACACTCAGACTGCTGTTTGTCCATCCATTTAATTGCGACGAGAAGCCTCTGGTAAGTGTATAAGGAGCTCACAATTAAGTTATTTTAATTTAAATCTAACATGTTACTTCAAGGAAGAAATAATTCAGAGGAGGGTGGGAGGAGGGTAAGGAGAAGCAGTAAAAGAAGAAGAAGAAGAAGAAGAAGAAGAAGAAGAAGAAGAAGAAGAAGAAGAAGAAGAAGAAGAAGAAGAAGAAGAAGAAGAAGAAGAAGAAGAAGAAGAAGAAGAAGAAGAAGAAGAAGAAGAAGAAGAAGAAGAAGAAGAAGAAGAAGAAGAAGATAAAAAAGAAGAAATAGAAGAAGAAACAGAAGAAGAATGAGAAGAAAAAGAAGAAGAAGAAGAAGAAGAAGAAGAAGAAGAAGAAGAAGAAGAAGAAGAAGAAGAAGAAGAAGAAGAAGAAGAAGAAGAAGAAGAAGAAGAAGAAGAAGAAGAAGAAGAAGAAGAAATAAAAGAAGAAACAGAAGAAGAAGGGGATGAAGAAGGAGACGAAAAAGAAGAAGAAGAAGAAGAAGAAGAAGAAGAAGAAGAAGAAGAAGAAGAAGAAGAAGAAGAAGAAGAAGAAGAAGAAGAAGAAGAAGAAGAAGAAGAAGAAGAAGAAGAAGAAGAAGAAGAAGAAGAAAAAGAAAAAGAACAAGAAGAAGAACAAGAAGAAGAAGAAGAACAAGAACAAGAACAAGAACAAGAAAAAGAACAAGAAGAAGAAGAAGAAGAAGAAGAAGAAGAAGAAGAAGAAGAAGAAGAAGAAGAAGAAGAAGAAGAAGAAGAAGAAGAAGAAGAAGAAGAAGAAGAAGAAGAAGAAGAAGAAGAAGAAGAAGAAGAAGAAGAAGAAGAAGAAGAAGAAGAAGAAGAAGAAGAAGAAGAAGAAGAAGAAGAAGAAGAAGAAGAAAGAAGAAGAAGAAGAAGAAGAAGAAGAAGAAGAAGAAGAAGAAGAAGAAGAAGAAGAAGAAGAAGAAGAAGAAGAAGAAGAAGAAGAAGAAGAAGAAGAAGAAGAAGAAGAAGAAGAAAAGAAGAAGAAGAAGAAGAAGAAGAAGAAGAAGAAGAAGAAGAAGAAGAAGAAGAAGAAGAAGAAGAAGAAGAAGAAGAAGAAGAAGAAGAAGAAGAAGAAAAAGAACAAGAAAAAGAACAAGAAAAAGAACAAGAAGAAGAAGAAGAAGAAGAAGAAAAAGAAGAAGAAGAAGAAGAAGAAGAAGAAGAAGAAGAAGAAGAAGAAGAAGAAGAAGAAGAAGAAGAAGAAGAAGAAGAAGAAGAAGAAGAAGAAGATGAGATAGAAGACATATATACCTCCATTTTGTGCCATCACACCTGAAGAGAGGATAAAAATGTAAAAAAGTCAAAATAAAGTAAACAAACTGTCATTCCCCCCCCCCCCCCCTCCTAACAAAAAGGCACAGACAGACAGATAGATGGGCGGTTAAACAGACAGACGGACGTACGGACAGACAGACTGACAGACATACAGACATACAGACAGACATACAGACAAACAGACAAACAAACAAACAAACAGACAGACAGGCAGACAGACAGACAGACAGACAGACGAGTATTGTTATACCCGGTCTTTTCAATACATAAGTGTTTGTGATCTTGTCTTGTCACTTAATGCCAAGTAATCTTCTTAGGCTTCGCATGAAAGTTATTTAGCCATTATTCCGTTTTGTTTTTGCTGTTTGTTTGTCCGAAAACCCGGCATGCATCAGCGAATGCAGATAATTTGCATTGCGACTTCTCCTCTGAGTGGGTGGGTATTGCTGCTTAATTTGCACACAACAGCTTTCTGATAATTGCCCTTCTTATTCTGGTTGTGGTCTTCTGCCCAGGAGCATTTTAAAGGCAGCCGACAGATCGAGAATGGGTGATTATACTAACCTCTTGATTTCTAAAAGCGTGTTTCAAAAGAAATGAGAAGTAAATTCCAAAGAGGGTAGGGGCAAGTACATATCCCTGCTTCGCTTCAATTGTCATTATGAACGGTTCCAATGTTACACTGTCAACGTCGATTGTATCTTACACACCTGTATTGATTTTCTTCACATCATTTTTGCTGCATGTGAAAATAAATCAGTGTTCAAGTGATTTCTGCGAAAGCTACACTGTAACTGTTCGAAAACCTGATCTCCTAGAATCCGAAGTCTTTGAAGAGCAATTCTGGCAAGTACTTCGTCTACACTACACGCGAGTGACTTTCTCTTGTAATTGTTGCAGTAAATCCGATCCACTTGTTCTAGTACATAGCTATGATGCTTGAATCTTTGAAGTCTTGTGGAAGCTGTCCCACACACGTCTGCAGAGTGTTATTAACTCATAAATATATGGGGTAAAATGTTTTTTCCACTCCTGATTATCTCAATAGGAATTCCATCTCCGTCTGGGACTTTCCCCGAAGGAAATTAATCATCAGCATCTCTAATTTCTACAACTGTTGGAAAGGTGTCCGGATAGTCAAGAGTCAGTTTCGTCTTCATCATATGACGAGCAGTGTGGGTGAGTTTGATTTCAACTGAGTACAGCTCTAGATAATGTTTGATGCATCTGTCTAGCCGCCTCTTCTTGTTAGTAATAATCTCCCCCAATCAAACTCTTTAGTTTTGCACTTTATAATAGTTTGTGTACTGGCTCAAAAACGACCCTGTCTCTCAGGTTGACGTAGCCAACAGTGGGTGTCATGCGGGAAGTAAAGGCGCAGGCGTGATGCTGATCACATCACCCACCAAGTGCCGATATGCTTAGAAAGTTACAGATGGGCTTGGTCCGAAGACAGTGCTTAGAGTCCCTGAATGGATAGGAGCTTATATATATATATATATCAGTTTCATATTTGTGCCAGGGCACGCAGACGTGCAAGAAAGTGACTGACTGACTGACTGACTTTCTACCCCACCAGGACATCACACAAGTGATAAACACCCGATGACACAAAGTGCCACCATGTGGATGAGGATCGCCGTGGAGAGGTCCCAGAAACCGCGTTCAGACAATTGGCCATATTTATGGCCTGCCTATATTGCGGCCCCTGGCAAAAGCCAGAGTGGGGCTTCAAATAACAAAAAAAAAAAAATTACGTCCTAAAAAGGAGGTAAGGATACTAACAGCAAGAAAGTGAGCAAGCAGGCAGGCTTACATGTAAAGCTGGTGTTCTGATTGCTCTACGAGAAGTAAGATGTTTGCGGGAACCAAGTGGTGACTGTGAATTTGTATCCACTTGCGGACTGCATGAACAGCATGTTAAAAGAGGTGTGGTCATACACGCCTATTCAGGAAGGCAAAGAAGAATAAGAAACTAACCAATAGCTGGTGTCGCCTTGTTTCTCACGCAGATGCGCAGCAACTTCTAAGCAAGCTCCCAATTAGTCGACCCTTACGACAGGTTTATGGACAGGCAGTGGGTGTGTTTTTGTTTTCCTCCCAATGATTTCTAAGAACACACACGGGGATTTGGTCTAACAATTCTTGATACTACTGTTATCCAGACTTTCTCTTATTTCTTTACCTTTATAAAACATTAAATGCCCATCAATGTCTTTTTTACATTTGTTTTCGAAGGCTTTCAATTTTTGTTTATTTCTTGAGTGGTTCCTAAATTTTCAGTAGCAAGTTTTAAAATTAAAATTACATTTGATTTGACCATACGTAAGTTGATTTTAAAACTTTATAATTAAATATTTCAAAATTTTGTTCTTCTTATTCTTTTTGTTTATTTTTCTACTCCTGGAGTGCCTTGCAGCGTGAGAGCAAAAAGATATCTCTGAATCGGACGCTTATCTTTGCTTCGTATGTAATACTTTTCGGTATTTTCGATATCTCTGCTGTCCATATTGTGCGTAGTCGACCTCTGGTTCTGTTACCGTATGTTCTGTCTAGCATTGCTCTCTTTGGGGCCTGTTCTCGTGCTAATCATGTCACATGTCTAAACCATTTGGTTTGTTCTCTACCTATATAGTTCAGTGTTGGTTCTGTGCCGACTCGCCTCCTAATGTCATCGTTCCTAAGTTGATCTTTCCTGGTTACACCTAGCTGAGTTCTTTCGTGACTATTTTACTTCTATGATCAAAGGACAGGGTCCATGTTTGACATTGATACGTGCAGGACGTGACGATTCCTTGGGTGAGCCCAGAACCAGAGCGCCATGTGCCGGCTCTGCATAGATGGAAGCCTCCTTGGATGGCTGGGAATGCCCATGATCTGCCCCTGCCTTCCATTGAGGGCTAACCGTTCCACAGGGGGCTGCCCCGAAGTACTCCGGGGGCAACACCTGCGGAGAAGGCGACAAAGAGGACACCACACAAATCAGGCAACATCTTGACCCACACAAAACAATGGCCACAGTCACCCTAGAAATAGGCCTGACGTCTTCCATCGAAGTCGGAGTACATCTGCCCGCGAGGCAGGGAACAGCACAACGGTTGTACGAGCAAAAATCAGGTCCAGCTAAAAGCCAAAAGTCCAAGCGGACGATTAACCGGGACCTTCCGCCGGAATTCACAGCCGGTGAACGAAGAAGAAGAAGACATTGATACAGAGAATATTGTGCTGCACACTGCTACTTTTGTGTTAATTGACTTTGCCTTTCAAAATTGGTGCTGTCTGCGTCACTGACCAATTCGAAAATGTGTTGTATGGACCATTCTCCAAAGTTCATAAAATGGCTTGGTCTAACTTCAGTTGTACTTGAAGTTACAGAGACATGTAGCATACAATGTGTTGCCTTGCAAGCTTCTTCTTCTTTTTCTTCGTTCTTTCGCTTGAAATAAATTATCTATATCTGCAATGTTGTCTGTAGTATGAACTTCACTGTCTTTTGTCATTCACTCAGCGATCCGTAAAGTTTGACTTGCACCAATGTTTTTCTTGGCCAAAAGTTTTGCCCTGATATGTTGTATTTGGGACAGCCTTGGAGGACATGATCTGTTGTCTCAGGTGCCAATCCTCATGTGCACATGGCTGATTCGCCGATTTCAAATTGTGTGCACATGTGGCTGCAAAGTCGATTGTGTCCTGTTCTAAGGCGTAGAATAATAACTTGCTCTGGTCTGTCCATAAAATAATGCCTTGCCAATGGAAATCACTATGTCTTAATAATCTGATATACTCACCAACAACGGCGACCAGCAGAAACACAACCAGCTTGTCAGTCAGCATTGTCTTCGTCTGAGTTGAAGATGACACTGGTTGTCCACCCACAGACGCGGAGTTTTTATTTGCCTCGCGCCCACTTACGCAAAGACAGGGAATTACGCGGAGTGTGCAACTATAACATTAAAAACATCCCAGGCTAAAGAAGCTTCTGCCCAATAATTGCACACGTTGAAAGAAGTGCAAGATTGCATCTTCACAGATTTTGGCGCGCTGGATAACCTGAAGCGTTTAAGATTGTAACAGCAAGCCTTAGCAGTATCCAACGAGGTTAAAAGTTCTCTTTTTACATTATAAAATGTGAACTAACGAATACAATACGTGTCTGATGATATCCCATTGTGATCCTGTCGAGCTTCACTATTTCAATTATTTGAAAAAAAAATGATTTTTTTCTGAGTTACATTCTGTTAACTGCCTTATACTGTTCTTTGTTCAGGCTTTGCGATATCTATCATTTACTTTATTGTGCATCATCTGGTATTTATTTATATGCTGGGGATCAATGTTCGTGCATTTCTTCAAACCATGTCTTTATTGTGTGCTATTGTGTAATGCTATATAAGCGCACGGGCACTTTATTGAATTATATGTGAATTTGGAGAGATCACTTGTAATCTTTATCAGTTACCTTGTTGTACTGGTCTAACCATTTTAGGAGTAAATTTGCACAACTTTGAGTGTTGGGAAATGAAATCGGAAATTACACTAAATATTTTTCACACAAATAAATATCTAAGAAGACGCCTGCGTATTGTTTGGCCGTCTAGGATCCCAGATGCAGAACTGCGAAAGACAACAGTGCGTTCATAACTGGTCAAGCAGATCAAACGAAGAAAATAGAGGGGTTTGGACAAGTCTGCATAGTGCTTTGTAACATTATTCCAAGGGTACCTGTATAATGGACAGCAGATATTATGAGACAAACATGGATGATCTAGGGAAACCTAGAGTCGGACAGTGACAAGAAACTAAAGGATGCCACCAGGAGATTGGGAGACTCTTCTGAATGCATTATTTGTCAACAACAAAAGACAAACTGTAAAGAATCTATTTATATATAATATGTCTCAAGAAAGGATGTAAAAATGTGTTGAATATCACTATGAAGTGCCTTGCTGACTGGCTTGGACAATCATGCCCCTCCAAAATCTTCGATCCACAACTGC